ATGTGTATGAGTGTATGGCCTGTATATAGGTGAGTGCACCCGTGTCATGCAACGCCACGGAGGTCAGAAGAGGGCTTCGGATTCCCCTGGAACTGGAGTTAAGGACGGTTTGTAGCCGCCATGTAGGTGCTGGGAATCGAACCTGGGTCCTCTGCAAGAGCAGTCAGTGCTCTTAACCTCTGAGCCATCTCTCCAGCCCCCAGAAACTTCATTTTTTAATGGTTCCAAATTGGGAACAACACAAACATCACTGCACAGGTGAATGGATGAGCTGTTTTTTATAACCATGCAAAGAAACAGTATTAAGAACTTTTTAAAAATCCTCAGAGTTATATACACAATAAAGAAGTCTTGTGAAGAAGGCTGAAAGAATTAGACTTCAAAAAGTACATCCTCAGGAGCTGCAGAGATGGCTCAGCAGTTAAGAGCACTGTCTGCTCTTTCAGAAGACCCCGGTTTATTTTCCAGCACCCACAGGGTGGCTAACAACCATCCATAAGCCCATCTCTGGGGGATCTGACACCCTCTTCTGACCTGCAGGGGCATTACATGACTCAGGTACACTTACATACATGCAAGGAAAAAGACTCATATACATAAAATAAAAGCACATTCTGCATAATTCTAGTTACATGAAGCCCTAGAAAATGTCCATTTACTGTAAATTGCTATTTACTGACCAAACGGATCTGAGAATTTGTGACTGGATAGCTGGGAAAGAACATATGGAAATGTTTGGAATGAAAAACAAAGTTTATATTCTGACTTTATTAGTGTTTATAGACATGTAGAAGTGTGTATGTTTGTCAAAATTCATTGCAGTGAAGACTCAAAATGTGCATATTTTGTATACATTTATCTCACTAAAATTCAAGATCTTGATGTTTTGAGGGATATAACACTAAAATAATGTGCTACTTACAGGAGATGCAACTACAACATACTGACATGTAACAGTTGCAGATAAGAGAAATAAAAATTTAAAAAACACAAGCCGGGCGTGGTGCTGCACGCCTTTAATCCCAGCACTTGGGAGACAGAGGCAGGTGGATCAGGTGGATCTCTGTGAGTTCAAGGCCAGCCTGGTCTACATAGAGAGTTCAAGGACAGCTGGGGCTACAGGGAGACCCTGTCTCAAAAAGACCAATAAATAAAATAAAATAAACCCAAATAAACAAACCAAAAACCAGCTGAGGTTCCTTTCTCGTGGAATTGACAAAACAGTGCGAAAGATAATCTCATAATTAGGTGAGCAGAATGTGGTAATTGTAAAATGTTTTAAAGTCCTTATAAAGCTAAATATATGAAATACAAAATAAGATGTTGCTTAAAGCAGTAGGTCATGTTATCTCCATGATTTAGAGATAGAGACAGCTTTATATAACAAGTACTTTTATGCTTTTTTTCTTAAGAACAGTTGATTAGAGGATGTAAAACAATCTAATCAAATCTAAAAAACAAATGGAATGTGAGCAGGAATATTGGGATCACTGGAGGGGAAAGTGGGGCTGGGAGTGTGAGGGAAATATTTAGGCAGTTTAAATGCTACTAGGAAAGAACAAGTAGTTAAAAAGATTGTTTGCTGGAGAGATGGCTCAGTGGCTCAGTGGCTAAGAGCACTGGCTGCTTTTGCAGAGGACCTGGGTTCAGTTCCCAGCACCCACAACTGTCAGTAATTCCAGTTCTGGAGGATCCTAATAACCTCTTCTGGCACTGTAGGCATGTGGTTTGGTTCGATTCCCAGCACCCACATGGCGGCTATGAACCGTCCGTAACTCCAGTTTCAGGGGAATCCGAAGCCCTCTTCTGACCTCTGAGGCATTGCACGACACGGGTGCACTCACATACATGTAGGCAATACACTCATACACATAAAATAAAAATAATAAATAAAATATTAAAAAAAAGATTGCTTGCAAGTGCATTCTTGCAAAGGAAGTTCTTCAGAAACAATGTGCTACACAACACAGCTGAAACTTGGAAGAATGAAATGTTTCCATGTCTGTTTAGAGGCCAGCTTGTAACTGGGTAGTAGAACATTTCCTGTGAACTGTAAGGTAAAGTCTGCTCTTGAGGGTGAGAATGAAGGTGGTTGGTATCTAGCGGAGATTGGAGAAATTCTAAAATTTTGAGAAAGAGCTAGGTCTCTCTCTGTGTGTGTGTGTGTGTGTGTGTGTGTGTGTGTGTGTGTGTGTATGTGGGGGGAGAGAGAGACCCAGTTAGCAGTCAAAACAGAGTATTGAATTTTTTTCAATAAAATATTTATTATTTATATTTTATGTGTATGAGTGTATTGCCTCACGGCAAGTGCATCCATGCCATGCAATGCCTGCAGAGGTCAGAAGGGGGCATTGGATCTCCTGAAACTGGAGTACAGAGGGTTGTTAGCTGCCATGTGGGTGCTGGGAATCAAACCCGGGTCCTCTGCAAGAGCAGTCAGTGTTCTTAACCGCTGAGCCGTCTCTCCAGCCCCAGTACCCACAGACTTAGTATCTCTTTCCAGCCTCACTCCACAGTAACACTGCTCCCAAGGAAGGTGCGAGCAGCTGGACAGGTTTGAGAGACAGAAAGGACAAAGGGCAAGGGAGCTGAGCTAAGTTGATGTCAGTGCTAAAGGCTGAGGTTTAAAGCTGGAGAAGAAAAGATGCAAAGCTCCAGAGCACTGATTCCTAGAAAGTAGAGGTGGGGGTGAGTGGTCCACAGAGGTGGACTGGCTCAGTGAGAGTGGATTTAAAATGAGCAAAGGAAAGAGACAAAAATGGACTCTCATAGGACATACAATTTAGTTCAACTTCTAGCACCCAAAATACCAGGCAGTTGAAGCCACAGAAATATTGCAGAAGCTACTAGAATATTCTAATTACATGAGTTCCTTATTCAAGAACGAATTATTAAATTGTTTATTATAAAAAAAACCCCAGCAGCACAAGCCTTAGCTATACAGTGACAACTAGACTGTTATCTGCTAAGTAATTAATGAAGGCAGGCTTTGCATTCAAGCCTTAAAAAGAAAGTACTAGGGGCTGGAGAGAGGCCTCAGCAGTTAAGAACACTAGCTGTTCTTGGGTGTACTTACATACATGCAGGCAATACACACATACATATAAAACTAATAATAAAAAATAAAGTACTGTCCATTTTCTTAAGGTGGGTGATAATTCAATCATTTCTCTGAGAACCAATGGGATAGTAATTGGTGTTGGAGTCAAATTTGGTTCAAACTCAAGAATAACAGACCCTTCGTTGGATGACAGCAATGTCCTAATGAGTTTTTCTTCCTGCTTTTTTATATTGGGAAATCAAGGACAGCAGAGAACTAGCCCTTTCCCCAGACTGCACTTACCAAAAGATGATCCAAAGTTTTAAAATTACTATGTGCAAAGGCACAAGGGGGTTATGCAAAGATGAATGAGATTCTATTCTAGAGGAATTTTTCAGTCTGATGGGGGACCAAACAGAAGACATGGCAGAAATCCTAAAAAATGAAGTAGAAACCATGTTCCAGGAAAGACCTGGGTAACAACTCAAGGATAGCTGGGAACAGGGAGATTTTATGGAGAAAGTTGTTTTGGAATTGGGTCAGCAGGACTTCAGTAAAAGGTAGGATGCAGGAATAGTCCAACGACAGGGAAAGAGGGGTGTAGGGAGGTCGGATCTTATAGAAGAAGGCAACATACCCCAGACGTGTTAACTTCATAATTCCTGGCTTGTTCCTGCCTTGAGGCTTATTTGTGGGGAAGGGGCTCGTGGGATCTCACCCCTTCCCAGGGCTTAATAAAGGCTGGTAGCAGAGGGAGGGACATTTCCTTCCTGTAAGATGCATTGCTCCTGGAAACCAACTCCCAGACACACTACTGTAAGGAATCCTGGCGAAACTCCCCAGGACACACACACACACACACACACACACACACACACACGCGCGCGAAGTGGAGGGGGTCTAGCTGGAAAGAGGAAGGGGTTTAACATGAGAGGGAGACAGAAAAGGTAAGGGAGTGTGAACATGATTGAGATGTTATGTACACGTATGAAGATATGAAAGCGATCATGTATAATTGACACACACTAATAAATGCTTATTTTTGAATAGGGAGTTATATATAGTATGTTATGTGCACGGGCACATACATGCACATGAAAATCTGGGTACAGGAGAGAGTACATCTCATTTTGAGATGCTTGTGGATATCGGGGTCTGATGGACGGTCCGCCCCTCACACCCCGCCCCGCAAACGCCATTCAGAACCACATCTTTGAAGTGTGGCCAAGAGGTCAGTTGCTGAGGATTTGGACGTCCAATTATCTAGCTGTACCACGCCTCAATTTTTAGCTTAACTTTTTCCAGACCTGACTTTACTATATACCCCAGGCTGGCCTGGAATTCACTATGTAGCCCCGGCCACCTCACGCTTGCTATGACAGGTGCAGGCCAGCAGCACTTTCTGGAAACTTATTTATTTTTAAAAATATTTTTACTTATTATTTTTATTTTGAGTGTGAGTATTGCCTGAAAATGTGTCGTGCAGTGCCCGCGGAGGTCAGACGAGGGCGTCGGATCCTCTGGAACCGGAGGTATAGACGGGCGTCAGCCGCCAGGCGGTGCTGGGAACCGAAGCCGGGTCTTCTGAGAGGGCAGTCGGCGCGCTAACCGCTTGAGGGCATCTCTCAAGCAGCGGTTTCCTCAGAGCTCCGCAGGCAGCCGGTGGGAAGCGACTCCGCCCGGGGGCTGACGGGAAAGCGCCGGGAGCTGACCAGAGCCTCCCCGCCCCGCCAGCCTAGCGGACTGCACGAGGCACCGTCTCCAGGCAACGCACGAGCGTCGGCGCGCATGCGCAGCCTCCTCCGGAGCCGGCTTGTTTTTAAAAATCCATCCAAAAAGGCCAGTCAGAGGCGGCGCTCCGAGCGCACGGAAGCTGATTGGGCCGCAGCCACTCACGGCCGCCAATAGGCGCACGGGGCGAGGTGGGAGGGACCGGAAGCGAGCGTCTGGAGGAGGCGTGGCGGTCGCGGGCAGTTTGAACCGGGAGGATCCGGGAGTGCGTGAGGAGCGTGGGGGATTGAAGCGAGGGCTCGGTGTGGGGCTGACGGACGGGCAGCGCTGGGGACCGGCGGGTGCCGACTCCGCGTCCCTCAGGTTAGCTTTTCCGCGACGGCGCAGGCCCGGTGTTAGCCGCAGCCCTGGGAGGCTAAGGCAGGGGCAGTGTCGCTGGTTCGGGTTAGCCTGGGCTACGCAGCGGGACCGGGGGAAACCAGAGCGGGAAGAAAGCGCCTGGCGGGAGCGGTGCGGCGAGCGCCATCACCCTGAGTCAAGCCGGGCCGGGTCCGGGCGAATACCTGCGGCTCAGGTTCCGGAACCTTCCGTGGGGCTGCGGGTGTGCGGGGCCCGACTCGGGGCCGAGCCGTGTGCGTGCCCCCCCCCCCCCCCCC